GAAGTGGAGCGGGGGAAAGGGGGCACACTAGGAGAGGTGGCATGAAGGAAGGGGCCGATGAGGCAAGGTGGCATGAAGGAGGGACAGAAGAGAGAATGGCAGGAAACCTCTGAGGAGAAAATGTGTTCAAAACAAATAAAAAAAATTTGTAGCCAGTTTGAATCAAGTTTGACGGGAGAAATTCATGCCGCTCGCTCTTCCTTTAACATCTACAGTCGGTGCCCTTGAGCAAGGCATTCAACAACCCGAGCAGCTCAAAGGTGAAGAGAGCAGCTTATCGATGCTCGTATCGCCTTCACGTTTGTGTTTAATATTCCAAAACCATAATCCGGACGACTGTTGTAGTCTGACATACACATTAATCTGTGGGTCTGAAACTCTGACTTTTACTGTTAGTGATATTAACTAGGTGTTAAGTTGTAATCTGCAGCAAAGCCCTCAGCAGAAGTGTATGCTGAGGTTGACAGTGGCTGGTTGATCCAGTCATACTGTAATACTGATCCTGTTACCACTGCTAGCTGCAGATCACTCACACCTACTTACTCTGCAGCGCCATGTGATTTAGCACCGTATTTAATGACTTATGCAAATGGTGACATCTTTTTTTAAAATGTATGATCAATTTGACTGTAACTTGGCAAATGCTATAGATTTATCAATATTGATTTGATATTAATTTGACTGGCTTCACTGTGTTCAGTGTTGGGACATAATGAAAGACAGCGGAAGCTAATGATTGACTACAAATGAGTACTTGTTCTAAAACAACATTAATCATTTAATAGTAAAAATATTTTATTGTGGAATGACTGACATTGCCATGAGTATCATATTTAATACAGAAATGTCAAAGCAGGTTACAGAGATCCACTTATATGTATAATTATAGAGTTTTCCACTCTGTATCACATACTGTATCTTCTGTGATATTTGTTCAACTGTTCGTTGAAGTTACAATGTTCCCCGCCTGATGTATTTGGTATTTTTGGAACGTTTGGGCTCTCCCATCAAAACATTACATTTTATTTCTGTGGATTTGAATTTGGATTGGCTGCACAGCATGAATTTGTTGAAAGAGTACTTCACTGGTTTAGCATTGCACTTCGATAACATCAAACTCACAATTGACAGTTTTAGTTTTTTAAATGATCCAAATCGATGCAGCAGAACAACAGATATATCATCTGTTTTTATTCCACACATTCTTCTTCCCTGGCGCATCAAACAAAACCATATTGTTTTTTTTCGACTGGTCTGACTTCTCACAAAACAGCACAAAATGTTCCTCACTCTGAAATAATCAGAATTCAACTCTGTTTCATCATGGATTTCCTTTTTCCATTTTATGTGAATGTGTGTGTGTGTGTGTGTGTGTGTGTGTGTGTGTGTGTGTGTGTGCTCAGAGCGTGCATGCTTGGCGGCGTTGGGATTAGGAATCGATTAAGAGGCAAATGGACTGCAGGCAGGAGGGAGGAAGAAGGGAGGAAGAAGGGAGGAAGGGGAGGAAGGGGAGGAAGGGGAGTCCGGTCAGCGTGATTACAGTGTGCCTCCAGAGCAGGCTGGCCACCAGCTTGTTTGTTGGGGATTAGAGAGAGGAAAGAAATGAATCATATTTCTAAGTCCTGAGTGTATCTGTGTCTGCGTCTCTGTGCTTCTGAGTCCATATGCTGCTGAAGGGGGATTACAGGAGCACACCGTCTGCAGAGCACAGGAGGGGGTCCATCTATCCGTCCATCTATCCGTCTATCTATCTATCTATCTATATATCTAGCTATCTATCTGTCTATCTATCTATCTATCTATCTATCTATCCGTCTATCTATCTATATATCTATCTATATATCTATCTGTCTATCTATCTATCTATATATCTAGCTATCTATCCGTCTATCTATCTATCTATCTATCCGTCTATCTATCTATCTATATATCTAGCTATCTATCCGTCTATCTATCTATCTATCTATATATCTATCTGTCTATCTATCTGTCTATCTATCTATCTATCCGTCTATCTGTCTATCTATCTATCTATCCGTCTATCTATCCGTCTATCTATCCGTCTATCTATCTATCTATCTATCTATCTATCTATCCGTCTATCTATCTATCTATCTATCTATCTATCTATCTATCTATATATCTATCTGTCTATCTATCTATCTATCTATCTATCTATCCATCTATCTATCCGTCTATCTATCCATCTATCTATCTATCTGTCTATCTATCCATCTATCTATCCGTCTATCTATCTGTCTATCTATCCGTCTATCTATCCATCTATCTATCTATCTGTCTGTCTATCTATCTATCTATCTATCTATCTATCTATCCGTCTATCTATCCGTCTATCTATCTATCTGTCTATCTATCCGTCTATCTATCCGTCTATCTATCCATCTATCTATCTATCTATCTATCTATCCGTCTATCTATCCGTCTATCTATCCGTCTATCTATCCATCTGTCTATCTATCCGTCTATCTATCC